TTGGTTCTGAATGTGATCATTAAAGAGCGGTGTACTACAAAGATGATTGGACTTCTGGTCTCTATTCAGGAACAGGGTAAGTGTTTCTTATGGTTAAGATACTTGTTTGAAAATTAGTACTCTTAATGTGTTTTTGCTTTCTCATCAATGATCCACGATTGGAGCAAAACCACATAAAAAAATAACGTAAAAGCAACTAGTAGTTGCTTCTTGGATCAACGATAATATGCACAAGCAAACATGCTCTTACTCTGATGAGTTCTTGTTTTTTAATCAACAGGATATTGGCTCCAACTACTTATATATTCTTTGCTTCTGCACTACCTGTTATTGCCTTTGGCGAGCAGCTGAGTAGAGACACAGGTTTTTCATCTTCTTCTATATCCAACCTCTCTAACCACACACACAAATAAAGTTGTATTTTAGCAAACTACACTTTTATATTTTCAAGGAGTCATATAGCTTGTTAAATGCTCTTTCTGCAAAAACAAGTGAGTATATGTATTTTAGTTAAGTACACTTGGCAATATTTTAAGAAAATTGAAGTATGTATGTATATAATCTCTTTATATGTAAAAAAAAATTGGCAATGGGATTGAACAATTTGTTGTTTGTATACAGATGGAAGCTTGAGCACGGTTGAAACACTGGCTTCTACAGCTATTTGTGGAATCATACACTCAATTTTGGGTGGCCAGCCTCTCCTAATAGTAGGAGTTGCTGAACCCACTATTATTATGTACACCTACTTGTACAACTTTGCAAAAGATAGGGATTCCTTGGGACGAGAACTCTTTTTAGCTTGGGCAGGATGGTAAGAAAAATCATTTTCTACATAAAATCTGTTTGGATATAAGTTAAAGGCGTTTTTAGAGTTCTACTACTAAAAATAATGAGCTTTTTCTAATAGAAAAACTTTCAAAATTGCTTCTAAGATTGTATTCAAAATGGTTGATAATCCAAGTTCTTTGTAGCTGTCTAATTAATATTATTAACGTGACAGGGTTTGTGTATGGACTTCTCTCTTGCTGTTTCTACTAGCAATATTCAATGCAGCAAATATCATCAATAGATTTACAAGGATTGCTGGTGAGGTTTTTGGCATGTTGATCACAGTCTTGTTCATTCAACAGGCAATCAAGGTCAGTTTTTGTGATACTATCAAATGAAACATGATTTGTCATAACACAATGGAAAAGGACTTTGATACAAGCTTTTGTATGTTCAGGGAATGGTAAGTGAGTTTAATGTTCCTAAAGAAGGAGACCCAACATCAGAAAAGTACCAATTTCACTGGCTGTATGCAAATGGATTGTTGGGTATTATATTCACCTTTGGCCTTCTCTATACTTCTTTAAAAAGCAGAAGAGCAAGGTCATGGCTATATGCAACAGGTTTGTCAAGTGAATTTCAAGTGATTTGAGCATGGTTGGGGAGGGGAATCTGACATGGTTTGTTTATGGAACAGGGTGGTTCAGAAGTTTCGTTGCAGACTATGGTGTCCCTTTCATGGTGGTGGTGTGGACAGGTCTATCATTCATAGTACCAAGTAAAGTGCCTTCTGGAGTTCCAAGAAGACTCACTTCTCCTCTTGCTTGGGAGTCTACTTCTTTACATCACTGGACAGTGATCAAAGTAATCCATATTGCATATAATGTGATTCACAACTTCTTAGTTCTTACTTTTATAGTTTTGGAGATTACTTATATAACATTTGCTGCAGGATATGGGGGACGTTTCTCCAGCATATATTTTTGCTGCTTTCATTCCTGCCTTAATGATAGCAGGGCTTTACTTCTTTGACCATAGTGTTGCTTCTCAACTGGCACAACAGAAGGAATTCAATCTCAGGAAACCTTCTGCATATCACTATGACATATTGTTGCTAGGATTAACGGTATGTCTCTCTTCTACTATAGAAATTATTAGGTAATTCTTGACTACATAATCCTTAACTAATTTTTATCTGATATATAATTAAGTATTATTAAATTTTCTCGTCGATTGAAAAACATAAATGCATATCATATAGTGATTAACTAGGATCATAAATACTTGGTGATCTTATACTACCAAATAATTTTTCATTGTGCTGAGTTGTTTAATTGTCATTTATATTAGTGATCCAATTGGAATTTATGATTTGCTTTGGTTAAAAAATTTCAGACTTTGCTTTGTGGATTAATTGGCTTACCCCCTTCAAATGGAGTTCTACCTCAATCTCCTATGCACACCAAGAGCCTGGCTGTTCTCAAGAAACAGGTGCATAAATGAGTATATTGGTGTTTGTAGTAACTATCTTGATTGAATTGGATATTTGATTTGGTGTTTTTTTAATGGCAGTTGATCCGAAGAAAGATGGTTAAAAGTGCCAAGGAAAGCATACGGCAGGAAGCTAGCAAATCTGAAATCTATGGGAAGATGCAAGCAGTGTTTATAGAAATGGATAACTGTCCAGATGTAAGCATAAGCCTTTGATCTCTTAAGAGCATGTTTGGGTATAAGTTTAAAATTATTTTTGGAAGCTCCTCTATTGAAAATAAAGAGTTTTTTTTAGTGGAGAAATTTTTAAAAGCACTTTTAACTTGCATCAAAACAGGTTGAGTCCACTGACACATAGCTAAGTTTCTTTTGGTTCTGAATGTGATCATTAACAGAATCATTCAGTTGTCAAAGAACTAGAGGATTTGAAAGAGGTTGTCCTAAATGGTGAAGACAAAGGACTCAACAATAAGAGTACCTTTGATCCTGAGAAACACATTGATGAATATTTGCCTGTCAGAGTAAAGGAGCAGAGAGTGAGCAATCTTTTACAATCACTCCTTGTAGGAGCATCAGTCTTTGCTATGCCTGCCATAAAAAAGATACCAGCTTCAGTTCTGTGGGGATATTTTGCATACATGGCCATTGATAGTCTTCCAGGAAACCAATTCTGGGAAAGGATACTACTTCTTTTTGTAACACCAAGTAGGTGGTACAAGTAAGTGGAAGTTGTTAATATTGTTTCATCATTTTCACGACAGCATGAAACTTCTTTGTAAGTGGTTTCACTCAATTAAATTCTCTAATACCAACCTATTTTTGGCAGATTGTTGGAAGGGGATCATGCTTCCTTTGTTGAGTCAGTACCTTACAGATACCTAGTCTGCTTCACACTCTTCCAATGTGTGTATTTCTTGGTTTGTTTTGGAGTGACATGGATTCCCATAGCTGGAATACTGTTCCCCTTGCCTTTCTTTTTGCTCATCACATTGAGACAGCATATACTCCCCAAGCTGTTCAAGCCTCATCATCTTAGGGAACTAGACGCTGCTGAATATGAAGAAATAGTTGCTGCTCCAGGACTAAGTTTCAACAAATCTTTCAGGGTATGAATTGTGTCGATAAAAAAAATACAATACCATAAAAACTGTTAGATACGTTACTATAGGTAACATTTAATGAAGTTCATTATTATCCAAATGTGGGATATGAAAGAGCTTGTTTACTTTTCAACAGGAGGTGGAATCACCCCGAAGATCAAAGGAAATGAATAATGCTGAAATACTAGATGAGTTAACTACTAACAGAGGGGAGTTGAAGGTCAGAACTGTGAGCTTTAGTGAGGAAAGAAATCGCCAGGTAACAATAATTCCACTGTTGTTGATTTGAATTCAACTCTAGATTAGCATTTTTTTTAAATATTTTTTTTATCTTTCTCTCACATAAGTGTAATATGTTTGTGCTTGACTGAATGTTGAGGGTTTGCAGGTGTACCCTGATGAAAATGGATCCCCACCCTCAGATTGTTAGGGAAAGCTGATGAATAATCTGATATTATATGGTAAATGTTCCAACCCCTACAGAGGGAATCTGACATTAATACGTTTCCTCTAGAATTAAGATAAAGATCAAGTTTTAGAAATTATAAATTTTCATGCCGCAGAATTAAGATGTTAGCGGGTCATAATTTCCGGAATTTATATGTAAAATTAAATAAAAATACTTACTATCGATAACTCTACTCTTGTGTTAGCATTCAAATTTCAGAATATATAATATTGAGTTTAAGAGAAATGTAAATATAAAATATAAACTTTCAAAAAAATTATATACCTTGTGTAAATTCGAATTCGGAAATTTAAATTCACAATTTTTACCCTGCCAATAGAGGATGTGCTCATTGTTATTAATTATTAACTAAAAAGTGTTAAAAAATTAACTTAATGCAAAAATTCTATAAATATTATTTAAATCTATTTTCATTGTATATTTCAATACCACTTTATTTATTTATTTTTTTCATTTCATTGTCATTATTTTTCTATCCAGAAATGTTTATTTTTATTTATTTATCGAAAACTACTTAATAATGCTTTAAGAAGGGTCAAATTCTTTTATTATTTCCGATTATTGATTTTTATTTTTTATTTTTTGCACTAATATTTTAAAATTTTGTCTTAGACTAATCTATCTCATCTAAAAAAATAAGTAAATTTTAATTAAGATTGTTTCCGTCAATGATCATTAGATTATTCTAAATATATTTTTATGTAAAAATAATACGACTATTAGATATAAAGATTTAATTAGATTATTTTTAATATAATTTTTTATTTATAAATAATAGGCTATTATTTTCAGTCAAATTCTTTTAATTTAGAATATTATTTTCACATACTTCCAATCATTCGGCTATTTAGAAAAATAATAATATTTAATTGATTATAAATTTCATTTTTATGAATTAAAATTATTAATTTAAGTATTTTTATAAAATTTATTGTTTGAATTTATATGAGTTTGACATATATTAATGAATAAAAAAATTATATAAAATATATATTTTTATATTTAAATTTCTGGAACGGTGAAGATTTTCTATAAAATATTTTAATTAAATTTGATCGTGCATAAAAGTGCATACATTTTAAGCACTTTATATAAAAGAATAGACCACCTATCACCGGATGCTTCATTAAAAAATTATTAAAATTACAATATAAAAATTCAAAAATTTAAAAAAAAAAAGACAAAAAAAATACTTAAAAAATTATTAAAATTAAAATATAGAAATTCAAAAATTTTAAGTGAAAAGATAAAAATATACTTAAAAAATTATTAAAATTAAATTATTTTAATATATAATAATATTATTACAAATAAATTAGAATATATAAAATAAAAATAAAATAACTAAATAATTTAAAAATTGAAAGAATAAAATATTATAAATATTATTTAAATAAATTATTAAAAATATAAAATATAAAATATTGTACCGATACCCTCTCAAATAAGATAGGTATCATAGAATTTCTCATATTAATAGCATCAGTAGAAGCGTCCAGTGAGGAATCATTCAAAACTCGTTACGTGTTATCGCTATCTGCTGCATGTTACTTTCTACTAAGTTACGTGTTACTTGCTGTTAGTTACTTATTACCTGATATTTACGATTTCTTATTTATTATGTGCCATCTATTATCCATTATATGTTACTTCTTACTTATTATTTACTACAAGCTACCTGTTATCCATTAGAAGCTACAAGTTAAATTTTACTAGTTGTACACTTGTTATTGTTTACCTGTTACAAGTTAAATTTTATCCCTACTTGTTAACAGCTATTTATTATTAATTACATATTACCTGTTATTATCTACGTGTTACTTATTACTTGTTATCTACTTACTGCTAGTTAATTATTACGTACTTCTTTATACTTGCAATTTGTTACTTGTTACTTGCTATCGACTACCTACTGCATGTTATCTACTACTTGTTACATATTACTTGTTATTTATAACTTGTTATCTACTACTTGTTACATGTTATTTGTTAATTACTATTGGCTATCTACTACTTGCAACTGACTACTTTTTATCAGTTACCTGTTACTTATTACTTGTCACACACTATCGGCTACAACTACTACACCTGTTACCTGCTACTTATTACAAGTCACATTTTACCTTCAACATTGTTAACTATTACTTGCTACCTACTACTTGTTATTTGTTAATCGTTACCTACTACTTGCAACTTATTACCTTCAACTTGTTACCTATTATTTGTCTCTTGCTACTTGTTACATGTTAACTACTACTTACAACTACATTTTACCTACTTGTTATCACTATTGACTACGTGGTACATGCTATTAGTTACTTTTTACCAACTACATGTTTCCTACAACCTTCTTCCTACTACTTGTTACATGTTACTTGTTATTTGGTACAAGCTATCTGTTACTTGTTACATGTTAATTACTTGTTACTTGCTACAAGCTATTTACTACTTGTTACATGTTATCTCCTGTTTTTTACCTACTACTTGCTACTTGATACCTACTACTTGCTACCTTTTACCTATTACCTAAAACTTGTTATTGACTACTTGCTACTTGTTAAATTTTACCAATTGCCCACTACTTGTTAGCTGTTGCTTGTTACCAATTATCTGTTACTTGTTACCTACTACTTGTTACATGTTATCGACTTCCTATTACCTTCTATTTGTTACTTGTTTCCTACTATCCACTACCTATTATTTGTTATTTGTTATTTACTACCTGTTATTTGTTACCTATTATCCATTGCCTATTACTTGTAACCTACTACTTGTTACCTGTTACATGTTACATGTTACTAGGCATGGCAATCTAACCCGCCCCCGTGGGTACCCGCCCGAACCCACCCTGATTTCGATGGGGAAAACCCGTGTTTATCAGATGCAGGTTTTCCCCGATTGATAAAATCGGGGGCGGGGACGGGGGCGGGGATGTTAATACCCACCCGCCCCCGCCCTCATCCCCGCCCCGCTTAATAACATAAGTAAAAAATTATTTTTATATATATAAACTAAAATTATAAATATTTATATGTAAAAATTTATATTATTTTAATTTTCTTTTATTTTTTT